CAACATTCAAATTCAAGAATACATGTCAAGAACATCAACTTTCAAACTCTTTTAGGACGAATTTCGCTGAACTTAACATGTTTGGCGCGTGGGTGAATGAACCCAATGCTATGAAAGACTCACATACCTTGTAAGATTAATTCCCTGGCGAAATCTACCACCAAATCGCACGATCTTAGCGAAATCTGAGCTTTTCTTTTCCTTTCTCCTCTTTTTATCTTTTTCTCCAAGCCCTAGCGTGAATTTCCAATTGACTAAACTGATATCATTATGATTTGACCTTGAATTAATTCACTGTAACTAATTAAATTAATTGGGTAAGGAAAAGACTAATCTACCCTTCAAAAAAATCCGGATTAGACTTTCCTTAATCGCACAGCCCAACCTCCATAGGTCATAACTCACTCATACAAACTCGGAATCGTGCAAACTCGGCGACGTTGGAAAGTTAATTCCAAGTGCTTTCCAATCATATCTGGAAGTACACCTATTTTACCATGAGGTAGGAGTTATGGCCGTTTGAAGTTGACAACTTTTTCCTAACTTAAACAAATTTCCAGATTTTCATTATTTCCAAAAATGAATATTTCCAGTTCTAAGTTTCTTCCTAGCTATTTCAATTTGCGAGATCTTACACAAGTGTTGCTCCTTTGGGAAACTCGAATTGGCTACCAGCAATCCGAAGTCTCTTGCGAAATCCAAAAGTGATAATTAGAAATGAAAAATCAACCAAAAAACAAGCAGATTGAAATTTGTTGCGTTTGAAAGTGATTAGGGCATGATGCAGAAACTTACAATTGCAAATCAAGACGACGATAAATTAGATGACGAAAACTTATACTAAAAACATAATATTATTATATAAAAACTAATATAAAAAGAAAAATACTAATACCGTTAAGAAAATAAATCTCCCCATAAACAAAACTCTTAAATGTCTATATTGTGGATGCTATTGTGTTTTTCTATGAGAATAAGATCTTCAATTTATACATCTCATAATATTTCCTCTAAAGAAAGAATAAATCAAATATGAAAGAGAATTATATTTTCTTTACAGGAAAAGTTAAAACATTTATGGTAATATTTTGTCTTTTCTTTTAAGAAAAAACAAACCTTAATTATGGTAAGAAAACCAGGTAAAATCCTAACAAAAAAAGAGTTAGCAATTGATCAAGAAAACTGAAAAATCGAATAATAAACTAAAATGCAATACTAACAACAACATAGAGTGAACGATCAACTATAATATTAAAGAAACAATGAAAGCTAGAAAACTGAACAATGAGAATAAACATAGGTAAAAATGAGCAAGCAACTAGAAAACAGATGCAATAACGAACAGGAGAACTAGAAGATTTGACAGAGGAAACAATTGATCAAGAAAACTAGAAAAAGTACTGTATTTCTGTTTTTAAAACAAACCAATCTCTCCAACCTTTCTCAATGAAGGGAATGACAAGAGGTTTATATAGAACGAATTGAGGGGAAATAATCGAATAAGGATAGGGCAAATTTCTAATGTCGAAATTTGAATTATTTTTGAAGGACAAAGAATATACCAGAGACTATCAACAAATTGGAATGGATTAATGAACATAGTCGTCTGATCTTGGCCTCCACCTAGCTTGTTCTCATACAAAAGGGTAAGGGTGAGGACACGCTTCTGGAGCTTGTATTGTCGGGGTCGTTGGGAAGACGATGACGAAGGTACTGTACTGCGTCTGGTTATCGTATCATTGTTGAACGCATGGTATGTTTGAATGTCGTAGAGGCCTTAGCCATTGGAATATCCTATTGTGAACGTTGGAATATTGGTGGGTTGGGTTGGGCTGGTGAAAATGAATTTGGTCGGCTGGGTTTGGCCCAAATTTCTTCTGAAAGTTGAGTTTAAAGTGAGGTAACAAAATTGTTAGATTTACAATAAAATGGTTTAGATTTCAAATTATGACATGACCAAATGAGTTTCAATTATGGCCAATTGTAATTAAGAATGTATTCAAATAGAATTAATTTAATAAATTCGGCAAGGATTTAAATAAGATTAATCAACAAGCTTCTTAATCTTAACAAAATAAAATAGTTAACATATTTATAAACTGTAATTAAAAAATTTAATTAATTTGAAAATATAATTTACTAACTAACTAATACTAATTTAACAAAATATATGAGTGAAACAAAATCTTTCTGGAGATGATTTTTGAATATTCATAAAATGTACTAATTATATAAAAACATACACATTATTTAAAATCATAAAAAGTGACAAATTTATTTTAAAATAACTTGAAAAACATTGTGAATTTTATAAAATCAATTATTTCAAATATTATGAAATTGAAAGCCAAATTTCATTAAATAGTAGTGCTTAATTAATTAAAAATACGAAATTATAATCCAAATTTATCAGTGTTTGATACAATCAGTAGGCAAGAAAGAGAGTTTTTGAAAATGTCAAACAAGTCATATCTTCATCAACTTTTGAAAATGTATTCATATATAACAATTGGATATCAGCATCCGTGAAATGGAATACAATCTTAGGAAAATCGACAATACTTTTCGTCTCGTAACATATGGAAAGCTCATTCGAGGGATCTTTTTTTCTCTTTCCAGTCGAGACACAATATAATAATTAGATAACTAAAAATGTATACTTAAACTGATCACACAATTTAATTTTACCTTTAATCATTTCCAACAAAGTCGATTCCAGTTTGCTGTAAATTTCCTCAATGAGAAATGTCAATGTCATGCCAGAATCGATTATAATATTTCCTGAATCTTCGTTAGTATCAGAAGAATTCATGAGGTGTGAAGACTTAAATTCTAACTTCTTACCTCCAACGCTAACACTTTAGAGATTTAGAAAGTAGAGTATGTCACTAAAAGACTGAACATCCGAACTTGTAATTCTACAGTAAAATGCGTAAAGAGAATCACTGATAGAGTATGTCGTTAAAAGATCTGTAAAATGTGTTTATAAAAAAGATGAAAAATCATTAATCATTAGATATGAAAATATACTAGTTGAATTAAGAGAAGAGAAATACGTATTTCTAATAAGTTATGTTGATGATTGTCTCAAATTGCTTCTGGTGTACGTGAGTTGCTTGAGTGGTGGGAGAGAGAAGGAGCAAGAAAATAATGAGAAGAAAGCGTGGAAGAATCCTTTTTATTTTTGGTAAACCAAGTAAGAATCCTAAACAAACTTGTATAATTAATTTAGAGTCCAAGTTACCATATAATACTCTTTTAATTATTGATATTTAAATATTAACAATATGTGAATATATTAAGAGGAAAAAATAAATATTTCTAAAAATGAGGTGACCATGTAATTTTCTTGGGTGGATAGTAACTAAACTCTTATGAAATTGGACACTTTTTTTTATGAACGTTAAGATCCACAAATACTTATGTGAATATTTTACGAAAAAAATCACACCAAAATAATAATTAAGACTCTACATTACATTACATAAAAATATTTTTTATCTTTATCGAGCATAATTATATTACAAAACATACCAGAATGAGGTAGATTTTGACTGAAAATTTTAATCAAAATAATGCAAAATATGCTTTAAAATCGACAAAAAAAACTAATTCAGGCTTCTAATCATAGCTTAGTACTTGTTCAAACATTCTACCATATGGTTTTGGACTTTGACCAGAAGTGGCTTGAATTAGTGATTATAGGAATTATAAGAAATGAAATTTTTTATCTATTAGAATATTGCTGATTAGTTGGTTGGTTGCCTGAACTCTCATCCTGTTGGTGAGGATTCAATTCCTCATATTGTTATTCCATTTCCCCACCCCCAATTTTTACTTTTAGTTTTAAATGTGAAATAAAATCTTTATCAAAGAGGCAATTCCAATTAGTGAGAACTAAGAATAAATAAGCTATTATATCTCTCTTTGATTTATTATATGACCTGGTTCTTACTAGAGAAGAAAATCTTTTAAATAGATTGATTTCATAATGTTTTTACCAATGTAATCTCACATTTCATATAGTAAAAAAATAATTTTGTTGCTTAAAGACATTAGATTAATTGAACATAACCAAAAAAATCATTCATCAAGAATATAGTTTGTTAAATTTGTGATGGAGATTAAAAGAGCTTATTTTAATCGAACTTAAATGATTAAAGCTGGTCATAGTATAACTAATGACGAATTTAAGATTTTAATTTGATGTGTTGGATTAATCTTTCATGTTCTTAGCACGAAACTCATCAGACTTATAAGGTTATGAATTAAAATTTAATTGCTGTTGAAATTTTTGCCATTACTTATAAAAGAATTTATACTCCAAATAAAAAATATTGAGTTTGGTGCTTTCAAAAAAGGTACTTGTATTTTATTGAGTTTTGCAGGGTGCGTAGAACCAAAAATGGAAAAAAGTTGATACCATTAAATGTGACCATAATTGATGATAACTTTTTAATTCGCATTCCATTTGATTTAGTGGTAAAATTAGTTAGAATATCTTTACCTACGTTGGTTTATTTAATTTTTCATGAAATATTATAGTAGATTCAACAACAACAACAAAAAACAGGATAAACATGATAACAATTAAATTTGAAAATAAGTATTGAAATAACACTAGAATATCAAGATAATTTTAGGCAATTCATAAGTAAAGTTGCTCCTCCAAAAGAGTAAGAGACTATAACTATTTTATTTTTAATTTAACACTAAGATGATAACATTGCAATCTCATAAAAGCTTCTAAGGCAAGTTTACTCTTCATCAATCATTATTTTTGCATATTCGATAACATTTAGAACCTCTTCATTCTGCAAAAAAAAAAAAAGACGAAGAAAACGTGTTAATCATATATAGGATATATGTTATACACATTGTTAACTTCAATATATATGATGAGATGAACACTAACCTTTTCAATTTGTTGGTCAACCTCCTTAGATAGCCTGTCTTCATCAAAAGTTAAGCAAGTAGATACACTCCTCCTTTCAATCAACCAATGTGTTCTTCTTGTAGAGCAATGAATGTTGAAGCATATGTGTCACCTTTTCTATTTCCTTCAATGTTCTAAAAAAAAAAAATAGTAAGCAAACATAAAGAAAAAAATCATGAAGAATTTAAAAATAGATAAAATTTGACATAGAAATAATTTAACCATATATAAAAAATAGGTGTTTTTTAATCGTGAAAGTAAGATAAATTATATTTTATAATATATACATAAAAATAAATTTGGATGCACAATTGATGGATGTTATTAATTAAGAGCGGGAGGAGGAGAAAAAATTAAAAAGAAACTCACTTGATAAGTGCTTGATATCTCTCGAATTCTCTAAAAATGGTAAGCAACATTAAAAAAATTCATGATTATATAAAATAAATAAGATTTAACTTATATACACTAATAATGTAAAGAAAAAACTCACTTGATGACAAGTTCTTGTTGTGAAGTAAAACCCCTTCTTGAAGAAGCCATTGAAACAAAAGAGAAAATTAAGAATCAAGATGGTCTTATTGTGCTTATTTTTCATATGACTTGGTTCTCATAAGAGGAGAAAGTCCTTTAAATAGATGAATTTCATGATGTTCTTACAAAAATTAATGGTCAAAGTTCAAGAAAATGATAAGATATCAGTCAACTATGAAATTAAATTTTTTTTTTTTTTTTTTGCATATCTTTGAAATATGGTAAAGAAAAAAAAGATTCTATAGCTTAATAGTCAAAGTTCAAGAAGAAAATGATAAGAAATCTGTAAACTTTGATATTAATAATTAATGAATTAATAAATGTGGAAATATCTCAAGTATATGATAAATTAAATTATCTTGTTGTCCAAATGACATCATTTGACTAATTTAATCTAACCAAAAGAGTCATCAATCAAGAATATATATATATATATATATTAAAATTTAACAACTTCACATTTATGAATATTGAAAATGTGTACTCTTCTATTTATAAATGTATGTGTTTTAAGAAAAAATTACCTAAATACACATCTTATTTTATCTTATTCTCTACAATTTATTTTTATTTTTAAAATCTCATCTTGAATACATCACTCTCCTCTCATTGATACATCCCTTCCTTCTCTGATACATCCCTCCACTATGTATTCATATGTCTTATCCCTTCTCAGATACATTAATATTCCCTCTTCGATACATCCCTCCTCTCTCGGATACATCTCACCCCTATGTATCTGGATGTCCTATCCCTTTCTCTGATTCATCCCTATCCCCTCTCCGATACATCCCTCCCCTATGTATCTGGATATCAGCTGATGTATATGAAATTCATAAATTTTAAGGAAAATTTGTAATTTTAGAAAGAGTAGGAAAATGATGCAAGTACTCTTAGTACTATGAGATTTATGTAAATTATACTTATTTTAAGGGTAGTTTTGAAACATTGAAAAATCTTTTCATATTTCATAAATTCAATGATAAATATATCACATAAATTAAGACAGAATAATTAATTTGCTCCCGCAATTATTAAATAAATTAGCGTATTAATTCTACTATTTAGAGAGAGCTATTTGTCACTAAATAAAATCCAATCAATGAATTCTAGCAATACCACTTCCTGCGTGGTAATTTGAATAAAATGAGTACTTGATGTTGAAGATACAATTTTTTTTAAAAATTAGTTGGGTTTTGACATAAATTTCACTTGAATTATATTTTTTTTAGTATTTATCGAGCATAATGTTAACATAATTTGTAGATACCATATATAGCCTTTGAGAAGAATTCAAATGAAGCGAATCAAATATTCGCTTATCTTTAGAACTAATGTACTTACAAACATTATATAAAAAATAATCCAAGATACAATATGTATGAAAACACAAATCTTTGTGCAAATTAAAGTTTTTTTCACTAATTGCCACTTGAGAATGGCTCTATGTATAAACTTTTCATGGCTTAGCGAGTCATACAACAAATATGGTATAAAAATGATTTTGTTGCTCAAATGAGATCATGAGACTAATTAAATCTAACCAAAAGAGCCATTAATCAAGAATCTAGGTCTCTCTCTATATATATAAACTACTTTCAGAACGGGGTGATCAAATGTTACAAAATATAACAGATTTAGGTAGATTTTGGGTGAAGATTCTTATCAAAATAATGCAAAATATGCTTTAAAATCCACACAAAAAAAACTAATTCACGCTTCTAATCATAACTTTAGTACTTGTTCAAACATTCTACCATAGGGTTTCACCAGAAGTGGCTTGAATTAGTGATTACAGAAATTATAAGAAATGAAATTTTTTATCCATTAAAATATTGCCGATTAGTTGGTTTGCTGCCTAAACTCTCATCCTGTTGGTGAGGATTCAATTCCTCATATTGTTATTCCATTTCCCCACCCCCAATTTTTACTTTTAGTTTTAAATGTGAAATAGAATCTTTATTGAAGAAGCCATGGCAATTGGAGAGAACTAAGAATAAATAAGCTATTATATTTCTCTCTTTGATTTATTATATGACCTGGTAATTACCAGAGAAGAAAATATTTTAAATAAATTGATTTCATAATGTTTTTACCAATTTAATCTCACAGTTCATATAGTAGAAAAATAATTTTGTTGCTTAAAGACATTAGATTAATTGAACCGAACCAAAAAAATCATTCATCAAGAGTATAATTTGTTAAATTTGTGGCGGAGATTAAAAGAGCTTATTTTAGTCAAACTTAAATGATTAAAGTTGCTCAATAGTATAACTAGTGACGAATTTAAAATTTTAATTTGATGTGTTCAATTAATCTTTAATGTTCTTAGAACGAAACTCATCAGACATAAGGTTATGAATTAAAATTTAATTGTTATTGAAATTTTTGCCATTACTTATAAAATAATTTATACTCCAAATAAAAAATATTGAGTTTAGTGCTTTCGCGCATGTACTTGTATTTTTTTGAGTTTTGCAGGGTTCATAGAACCAAAAATGGAAAAAAGTTTATACCATTAAATGTGATCATAATTGATGATAACTTTTTAATTCGCAATCCATTTGGTTTAGTGGTAAAATTAGTTAGAATATCTTTACCTATGTTGGTTTATTTAATTTCTCATGAAATATTATAGTAGATTCAACAACAAAAAAAATAGGATAAACATGATAACAATTAAATTTGAAAATAAGTATTGAAATAACACTAGAATATCAAGATAATTTTAGGCAATTCATAAGTAAAGTTGCTCCTCCAAAAGAGTAAGAGGCTATAACTATTTTATTTTTAAGTTAACACTAAGATGATAACATTGCAATCTCATAAAAGCTTCTAGGGCAAGTTTACTCTTTATCAATCATTATTTTTGCATATTCGATAACATTTAGCAACTCATCGTTCTGCAAAAAAAAAAAAAAAAAAAAAAAAGGACGTGTTAATCATATATAGGATATATGTTATACCCATTGTTAACTTCAATATATATGATGAGATGAACACTAACCTCTTCAATTTGTTGGTGAACCTCCTTAGATAGCTTGTGTTCATCAAAAGTTAAGCAAGTAGACACATCCCTCCTTTCAATCAACAATTTGTTTTTCTTGCAGAGCAATGAATGTTGAAGCATATGTGCCTCCTTTTCTATTTCCTTCAATGTTCTAAAAAAAATAATAGTAAGCAACATAAGAAAAAATCATGAAGAATTTAAAATAGATAAAATTTGACATAGAAATAGTTTAACCATATATAAAAAAAATAGGTTTTTTTTAATCGTGAAAGTAAGATAAATTATATTTTATAATATATACATAAAAATAAATTTTGATGCACAATTGATGGATGTTATTAGTTAAGAGCGGGATGAGGAGAGAAAATTAAAAAGAAACTCACTTGATAAGTGCTTGATATCTCTCGAATTCTCTAAAAATGGTAAGCAACATTAAAAAAAATTCATGAATATATAAATAAATAATATTTTAACTTATATACACTAATAATGTAAAGAAAAACTCACTTGATGACAAGTTCTTGTTGTGAACTAAAACCCCTTCTTGAAGATGACATTGAAACAAAAGAGAAAATTAAGAATCAAGATGATCTTATTGTGCTTATTTTTCATATGACTTGGTTCTCATAAGAGGAGAAAGTCCTTTAAATAGATGAATTTCATGATGTTCTTACAAAAACTAATGGTCAAAATTCAAGAAAATGACAAGATATCAGTCAACTATGAAATTAATAAATTTTAATATTTTTACATATTTCAGGAATATGGTAAAAAAAAAAAAGATTCTATAGCTTAATAGTCAAAGTTCAAGAAGAAAATGATAAGAATTTAGTCAACTTTGATATTTATAATTAATGAATTAATAAATGTGGATTTATCTCAAGAATATAGTAAATTAAATTATCTTGTTTTGCAAATGACATCATTTGACTAATTTAATCTAACCAAAAGAGTCATCAATCAAGAATATATATATATATATATATATATTAAAATTGAACAACTTCACATTTATGAATATAGTAAAAATGTGTTTTCTTCTATTTATGAATGTATTTATTTTAAAGAAAAATTACCTAAATACACATCTTATTTTATCTTAATCTCTAAAATTCTCTACAATTTATTTATTTTTCAAAAATCCAGTCTCGAATACATCATTGTCCTCTCGCTGATACATCCCTTCCCTCTGTGATACATCCCTCCACTATGTATTCGGACGTCTTATCCCTTCTCAGATACATCGATATTCCCTCTCCAATACATCCCCTCCTCTCCCGGATACATCCCACCCCTATGTATCTGGATGTCCTATCCCTTTCTCTGATACATCCCTATCCCCTCTCCGATACATCCCTCGCCTATGTATTTGGATATATTCGAAATTCATTAATTTTAAGGAATTTTTGTAATTTTAGAATGAGTAGGAAAATAATGTAATTACTCTTAGTACTATGAGATTTATGTCAATTATACTTAATTTAAAGGTAGTTTTGAAACATTAAAAAATCTTTTCATATTTCCTAAATTCAATGATAAATATATCACATAAATTGAGACAGAATAATTAATTTGCTCCCGCGATTATTAAATAAATTAGCGTATTAATTCTACTATTTAGAGAGAGCTCTTTGTTGCTAAATAAAATCCAATCAATAAATTCTAGCAATACCACTTCCTGCGCGGTAATTTGAATAAAATGAGTACTTGATGTTGAAGATACAAATTTTTTTTAAAAATTAGTTGGGTTTTGACATAAATTTCACTTGATATTTTTTTTATTGAAAATTTAAGTTTTGTGAGTGAATCAATTCCTCACTATATCAAGAATGCACTCTATCATATGGCTAGAAAAAAATTAAAATATGAGTTAAACATACCATTCTCTCTAAATAAAGAATATTATACTTGTAACATGCAAAAGACTATTTAAGCCCGTAAATTAAGAACAACTATATATCTGAATGAAAATACATTAGAGAAGAAAAATAGCTAATTCAACATTAAACATAAATTTGACTTTCCGTAAGAATGACAATTTAAGAA